GTAGGTCAATCAAAATAAAACTCACTCACCGAGCTGCACAGGCTGCACTAGCACTGTTTAACCATAGGAACTGGCAACACAAACGTCTGGCTCCTACCGTCCTAATTAATCAGAGCAACGAGTTTATAAGCACTTTCACCACTTTCAGACGCCAAACTGAACAACAACTAGCATGCCAGCGACAAGCACCGTTACTTCCTGGTTCACGGCCAATAAAAACACTTTACAACTGGATGCAGACAGTACAGAGAGAGTGGTCTTATTATTTTTTTTTTTTTTTACTAAAACGGCTACATCAATATGTACTAAGCCAAAACAAATGTAAAATCTCTGTACCTGATTTTTCAGTGACAAAATTTCTTAACTTTTCCATGACTTTTTCATGTCCTAATGTGAATTTTCCATGAGTTTACGACACCAACATGTGTAGAATTGATCAGACTTTTAGGGCTAAATATGAAACGTTAATTCTCTCCACTCACCTTATGGTCTGGTTTTATGTTTTTTTTAATTCAAAATCCTGTCAGTGCATTTATTGTCGTCTCTTTCAATTTAAACAAAAGGCGCAGATGTTCGGAAATAATCATAAAAGCCTTAACAGAACGCTGTAGTTGCGTGAAAGAGATACTAAAATTCCATGACTTTTCCAAAACTTGACCGTGGGAACCCTGTTTCTACTGTTTCAAAAATATAGTGTTGTAGTCAGTGTTGGGGAGTAACGGATTACATGTACCGCCGTTACGTAATCAGAGTACAAATTATGAGTAACTGTATTCCGTTACAGTTACTGTTTCAATGAGTGGTAATTGGATTACAGTTACTTTGCTGAAAATGTGGATTACAAGGCGGTATTTTTCCTGTTTTCACATTTTGTGCTACCTCGCATTTATTTATTTTTTTATTTCGGTAATTTCACTCATTGCCGGAAACCCAAACAGAACGCGACAGTAAGAGCGATGTAAACGTCATGTTAAAGTTGGCGGTGTCAGTCACACAGTGGAAGCAGCAGTGCATTGGTAAAAACGCATTTGTGTCTTGGAAATTCTTCTCCCGATGTGAGATATATATAAAAAAAAAAACAAATATAAAATCGCCTACAACTTAAATGTGAAACAGGAGCTACTGGCACTGGTGAAAACAACCTGCATAGACTCATAATATCTGCACTACTGTCCTATAGTGACCTGCCACATGAGTGGACACACACACACACACAAACACACACACACACAAACACAAACACACACCTTCATCATCCTCATCAACCTGAGAACCCGTGGACCACGTCTCCTTCCGTAGTTACTGTGCGGACACCGCCGTCTCGTGCGCCGTGTGTGGACCGTGTTTTCTCGCGTAAACCGCGCTTCCTCCTGTGAACCTCTAAACCAGAACTAACACCAGGACTAAACCAGAACTAACCCAGGACTAAACCAGAACTAACCAGGACTAAACCAGACTGAACCAGGACTAAAGCAGGACTGAACCAGGTTTAAACTAGGACTAAACCACGACTAAAACCAGAACTAAACCAGAACTAAAGACCTGAACTAGAATCAGGAGTAAACCAGGTCTAAAAATCAGGACTAAACCAGGACTAAACCAGGTCTAAACAACATGACACCTAACAGTAGGTTGACATAATTTAAGGTGATCTCATATAAAAAATAATTTCTCTATCAATAATATTTTTTGATGGTGAAGGAAAGGCTGATCTTGTTACTGTCTTTTAACAGACAAAACCTCTTATATTAAGATGTCCTGGTCTTTGTTTCTCTACAGTTGCTTATTCATGGAGACTTGGACTCAGACAATTTGAAGACAACAAACAAGAATTTCAGGATGTGGTTGCTACATTCATGTCGTTTAAAAAAACATTACAATATCAAGTAATCCAAAGTAATCAGATTCAGGTTACTCACTTTAAGTAATTTAATGGATTACGTTACAAACTACATTTTGGGGTGTGTAATCTGTAATCTGTAGGGGATTACATTTTAAAAGTCACCTTCCCAACACTGGTTGTAGTCAAGACCGCGCTAATCGAGACCAAGACCTGTCCACGGAGACCACAGAGTCCCGAGACTACAACAAGCCCAAAACCTCTGAGAGTCGAGACCGAGACAAAACCGAGACCAAATCAAGACCTCAATGGCCACAACCAGACAAAGATATAGACCAAGGGGTTCAATTATAAGTGTGTCAAAATCCACTTGAAACAAATTGCGTGGACAAAACATAAAATCTACATTCATAAAACCCTCCTTGTGCACTTCTTCACGTACACATTCTGCTTCTTCGACTGTATAAAGACGTGGGCTAAGCGAGTCTAATTTCATCCACAGTGGCTCCGCTCAAATGAAGCGATTCCAGGGGAGAATTTGGACACTGCCTCTATATTATGAATAGGATATTTTAACGGATATAATAGCGAAATTAAAACACCAGGATCATGTCGAGCGGGTTAATACAAACATTTAAAGACCAAAATGACGATGCTCATAGCAGCAGTTACAGAGAGAGACAGAAATATTCCAATGAAAATCAATGAGTGCCAAGGTCAGTAGGAGCTGGAAAAGCCACACGCGAACTTCTTATTTGGAACGTGGCGGTAGCACGGTAGCTATGTCCATTTACATATACAGTCTATGGTTTTAACACACTGATTTATCCTGTTAAGAGCTTTATTGAAACAAGTGATGTTTTGCAGAAGAAGGTTGTTTAATTCTCATATCGCTTTGTGTACCCTTGGCATGTACAAGTTTGAGTATTTTTGACCACCATACTGCCACAATGTCATTAATCAAATTACCCACTGTGTTGTAAGTATGAGTGTTTGGTAGCTCTGTCTTTTGTCAGTCAACCCCAATTAACAAGTCAATATTTTATTCACCCCTGAGAGTAAATTTAAGCATATGAGCTGTTGAAATACAAACCCCCCCAAAAATCTGTAAGGCAAGGCAAGTTTATTTGTATAGCACAATTCGTACACAAAGTAATTCAAAGTGCTTTACAGAATAAGAAATACATTAAAATCATAATAAAAAACAAATCAAAACATAAAATAATCATGAAGATTAAAATTTTAAAAAAGAGAGACATAAATTGGAGAGAAGAGTGCAGAATGAAAACCTTTCAGTTATATGCACAGTTAAACAGAAATGTTTTGAGTCTGGATTTAAACAGCGTCACAGAAGAGTCTGTCTCACATGTTCAGACTGTTCCAGGTTTTAGCTGCATGAACCTGAAACACTGACTCCCCTTGTTTAGTCGTGACTCTGGGCACCAGCAGGAGGCCGGTCCCTGAGCTCCTCAGAGTGTGAGATGTTCATATGACACTAACATGTCACAGATGGACTTTGGTGCTCGGCCATGGAGAGACTTGTACAAGCAGAGCTGCTTTAAAGTCTCTGAGGCACAGGAAGCCAGTGCAGAGACCTGAGCACAGGACTTATGTGCTCGTACTTCCTAGTTCGAGTAAGGACCCGAGCTGCAGCGTTCTGGATGTTCTGGATGTTCTGGATGTTCTGCAGCGTCTCACAGCTCGTTTTGAGAGACCAGTGAGCAGAACATTACAGTATCTAACCTACTGGAGACAAACGCATGGATAAGTTTCTCCAAGTCTGATTTAGACAGTAAACCTTTGATTTTCGCTATGTTTTGTTCTGTAGAATTGGTCTTTAATTAGAGTTGGTAAGTCTGTAAAGAAGGACCTGAGTGAGAGAAGCGTTCAGCTCTAATCAAATGAAGCTCATCGAGGCCAACGGTTAAAGGAGCGAATTTGGAGCCAAGTTCCATATTTGGAATTCCGACCACAAGTATCGACAAGGGCGACGGTAATGCCTGTGTGAGTAGGAAGAGGCGTGCACCAAGTTAGTACAAGTTGAAGTTCACCAAGTTTGCACCAAGTTTTTGAGACTGGCTCGAGAAAATTGTTTTATTTTGTTTATTTTATTCATTTGACCTCTCAGGTTGTATTTGAATTAATTTGTGAAGAACAGTTTTTGTATGTTATCTGGGAGCAAGTTGAGTTTCGCATGAATAACATTTTTCCAAGGTTTTTCCAATAGAACATGAATTAGACCCAGAGTCAAAGGAGCCAGAAGTGCACCAGTGCTCACTTCCATGTCCATGTATATCGTCTGGTCAGAAGATTCTGTTAAATAAGTAGTTTTCCATCCAGTAGACAAACTTTATCGATCCAAAAGGGGAAATTCGTTGAACACAGACGCTCACATATTACAATAAAGTAACAAAGCACTTAACAAGAAATGGCAAATGAATTAATAATGCATAAAATTGTAAAACTCCCTTTGTACCTCTGCCGTTTAATATGGTTTTGTACAAGCTTAAATTGCCCAAATCTCTCATGTCGATATAATACTTAGAGTGGGACTAAACGCTGTTCCGCTGTAATAATGCCGTCTCTTAAACGTATTAAGACATATCGTATCGTAAATATCCCGTGACATCCATATTACCGAGCACATGCAGCATGAGCCCGG